GGAAGAAGAGGAGAGAAAGAGGTGGGTCCGCCGAGATTTCTAGAAGGTGCAAATCGGAGTTTCAAAAAGATTTGATCGGAGTAAAAATACAATTTTGCCAGACGACAAGAGCAAAAAGGAAGGAGCGACCAGGAGTCGAACCAGGGACCTGCGGATCTGCAATCCGATGCGATAGCCACTACGCCACCGCTCCTTCATATGGAGATTTTTTTGGCGCTTCTATATAAAGCATGTTTTTAAAAAGTCACGTGACTTTACTTTTTTTTCGTCTTTAGCAGCCCTATAGCATCAGGTTCATCGCTATTCTGCTTGAAGACTCTTACCATAACATATAGAACATAGAATACATGCATGGATTGGTTATGAAAGTGAAGGAATGGCCACATTGTCGCCAATTATGACTTTGAAAGTGGAACGGAGGGTCTGGCAAATGTTCAAACCCCGCCGTGGGCAAAATTTCAAAAAGGGGGCACATAGTGATGGTAGGTAGGCGAAAAAAGAAGATAGAGTGAGTTTTATTGAAAGGTATGCTATGAATGACTACAGCTAGGGACGACTAGAGGGGTTATGACTTTACTATGCTAGTGTAATGGCGTAGGAGGAGATCTGACAGGCTGCGATCCACAAAAAAAAAAAGAGCCAATGGTAGTGGGCAAACTGAAGACTGGGAAGGACAATGTCTTTTAGCATTGCATTGGAGTCAACTATGGAAGAAAAGTAGTACATTAAAAAAAGCTTGCAAGAGTGTCCCCATGGGTTTTGTAATCCCCCGAATGGTTACCCCCCAATTGACTTTTCCAAGTCCAAGCCCTGTACGTCGCCGTGCTATAGAGTCAGTGTCCAGTGTCGTAGTATTATCCTAGTGCAGAGAGAAAGAGAGAGACAGTAATGAAGCAAAAAGTTGTTACTATTGGTCATGTGAGGAAAAGCTCAAAAGAAAGAAAGGGGTTTTTTTTTCAAACCGCGAAAAAAAAATCACTTCTTCTTTGCTTCTTGATCACTTTTTTTCTTTCCATTGACATTGACACCGCACCACGAACGACCCACTCTCTATACAACCACCTTGAACGACGAACGTAGGGTAACTTTCACCTTCTTACAATCTTGCCCATCTTTCGTCTAACCATGACTAACATTTGCCTTTTGCATCATTGCTCCTTTTTTTCTCAAGAGATCAATTGGGGTGACAACGGATATAGACTCTCTGGCACCAGGACTGGATGGACATGGACTTCGATTGGCGAATGGAAGCAAGAATTACGATAGACATGGGGAAATCCTCGCAATTTTAAGTAGGTACCCTCCATTCCAAAGTAGATATGTAGCCATTGCACACCCTCAAAGCGCACTATTCCTTAGCTCACTTCCTTTGGACATTGCCTTTGATCCTTTTGGGACCGCTGACCTGCTCTTCCCTTCTTCAATCCATGTCTCATTACACTAGATTAGCTATTCCATGCCAAGTCCTAGATGTAACTCAAAGGTAGCCTCAACCAGTAAATAAAACCTACTTGAAACCATCTCCATGACTTTACTCTTTTGAATATGTTCCAGTCATCTTGAAAACTCTGACATGCAGGAGAGTTTGAAAAAAGCGGGCGGCCTTTGAACACAGTTGACTTTTTTAGAAACTTTACGATTCCTAGTTGCAATTTTTGATGTCGAGTTGCCTTTTCTTTCAATACCGATGACTTACCCATCTTCAAAATCCACATGGAGCAGGATGAAATGAATATCTACCCAAAGACACCAAAACTGAAGTATACTTATGTTGTATGCTTCTCTGAGCACTACACCAAGCCTCAAATCAGCGACTCATTCCAGTGGCGCCAAAATCGATCATTTCTACTACCGAAACCCGACGTCATTGGCATCATTCGGTAGATAAGAAACACTACTTTCTTCATGTAAAATTTGAGATGAGGTTTGTTATCTCTTTTACGAGAAAATGCATGTCCAACAAAAAGGGACACTTTTAATGGGGGATGGTCCATCCTCTATTTTCAAAAAGCGACATTTGACAAAGTTGGTACCTTTTTTGTTTTTCAGGACTGGAAGATGCCAGGGACACACTGTGCTTGTGTGAGCAGAGCTCAAAAGACGAAGTCGTAAAGTCATAAAGTGAGATCCAATCATTCATACAGTCGACACAGTGTGAAAATCCTTCTCGCACACACAATTCAAGTCAAACCTAAAGTGATGGAACTTCGGTTCCTTCGTCCAAGTTTGATCCGTCATAACAATCGAGATAATAGTCATAGAGATGGTTGCAAGAAGTTTTATTGGAGTTATTGAAACTACGTTAAATCCATGCGGGTGGGGAAGGGGAAGACTACGAAGGTAGTACAGGAATCAGAAGGGCTAATCTAATGCTATGACCAAGAGAATGAAGAAGGAGGGAGCTGACCAGCAGCGCAAAAAGGACCAGTGGTAGTGGGGAAAGGATATCAGGTAAACGAGTAGCGGTGTTTAGCAGTGCGTTGACTAGCTAGTTACTATAAAAAAGTGAGTGCACCAAAAGTTCCAATCCACAACCTAAGCACATGTCCATTCAGCCCTGGCGCCAGAGAGCCATTTTCCGTTGCCATCCTGTTGAATCTGTTAACAAAAAAAGGAGCAACGATGCAAAAGGCAAATGTTAGTCATGGCAAGACATAGATGGGCAAGATGGTGAGGAGAGAGTTACTATGCGTTCGTCGTTTAAGATTGCTGTATAGAGTGCGAGTCGTTCATGGTGCAGTGGCAATGTCGTTGGAAAGAAAAAAAAAGTGAAGGAGAAGCAAAGAAGAAGCAACGAAAAGCCTCGACAAGAAAAAGTGAGCCTTTATTGGAAGAAGCGGACTTTAAAAATTCAGTGAGTAGCTGCGAGGGGGAATTTTCTACCCAGCAGGTTTTCAACACCCACTTTTTGGTAAAGTGTTGCCCTCTCCCTCGAAACCGAAATGAATGACCCATCTTCAAACTTCACTCGGAGTAAGATAAAGCCCACATATATTGAACGATACCAAGAGCAGGGTATTCCTAATGATGACTGCGTCCGTGAATACGGCACAAAGCCTCAAAAATGCGACTGATTGGAGATGAGCCCAAAGATGGCACTCCATTCAAAGAACACCTGACATCCTTAACATTGTCCGATAGATAAGAATCACACTCGCCTATATGTTGAATTTGAATGTGAGCTGTCTATCTCACTCACAGCACTCACAGAGGATGGCCCATTCTTTTTTCAAGCGCGGCGTTTCAAAACCAGCGCCGACTTAAATCCAAAAGTTTCCAATCAATGTTCCCCCCTTCTCCTCCACTTTATTTTCCCCTTTTATCTTTTCAAAAGAAATGGTGGCTCTACGATCTACCTATCCTGTGCAAGGCATCTTTTACTTTTTGGCCCATCCTCAGGTCAGTTAATGTTTTCTCGACGTGGGGCGAAATGAACCGATACTCACATTCTCCTCCCTCCAGCTTTGGACGAAAACACTATGTCCCTTCATCTTGACCCTTATCTTTGGCATAGTGTCACTTGTGCTATGTTTTGTCTTTTTACTTCCTTTACAAGCTCATGCATTGATCAATGCTCATTGTCCAGCATGGCTCGCTTGGCTTGTGTCTGTAATCTTTGTGTTGCTAGAATCGGCTATTATCGACGTCATCTTCTTTGCCATACTGGTGCCGATCTACCAAGATGCTTTGTTTGATGCAACCTTGAAGGCAAGAGGGATGTCAAGGATGTTTGACACTCGTGTTCGGGTGAATGGGTTGACGCTTTGTTGTCGAGGGATTGGCTCAGGCCTTGTGTTTGTTTGGATCCTGGTCTTGGCACAGGTAAGGAGGAAAAGGTCAACGACGGATTGATTCGGTAACTTTTTTTTGGGTGTGTGTGTGTGTATGTGGATGGTATGTAATATAGATCCTTGTGCTTATCCTGACTGCTCCATTACACCTTATTCCTGTAGCTGGTACTGCCTTGGCATGCTATATCAATGGCTGGCCTGCATGGTAATAGAAAATCGTAGATACAATGATGATCTAAACGTTACTTACATTTATGCACTAGCTGGGGTGCATTAATTCACTATGATTTGGAGTTCCGCGGGTTTAGTATTGCAGAATCAAGGCGGCATGCTTGGCAACATCGGGAAGAATATTGTGCTTTTGGGGTGGTGGCTGTGGCACTGGAGCTCGTCCCGCTCTTCAATCTGATCTTTATGTGGACCAACATCGTTGGAGCGGCTCTTTGGATTGCAGATGAATACGAACGAAACGAACGCAACATTGCTAAACAGCAACAACAGCAGCAGCTTCAAGATCACTCGTCAGTATCAGCAGCATCACTATCCTACCAACCTGTCCCGTACCCGTCAGCTTATGGTCAATCCAATGCATCCTTCTCATCTAAGCAACTGGAAGGCCAACAACCGTATTGGAATGGGATGCCATCCAAAGGTTACTAGGGTAGATCAGGCACCAAATATTCACCAAGCACTATACCCTTAATCCATTACCTTCTACAACCATCCTACCTATAGTCATCTTATTATATCACTTGATCGTGGCTTATCCACATTTTACCTTCAGTATCATATCCATAATAAATGTTAACTTCGTATATCTATCCATCTATATGTACGGATATGTTTGACTTTGTAAAAAGTCCAGTCCATGCTCTCCCCACCTCTTTTGATGGCGTCGATGGGACGAATCGTCGGAGTTAAAGTGGAGATTGCCTTTTTTTTTTTTTTGCAGGAATCCACCTTGGAGCTATGGGTCCCCAACCTTTTTCTTGGACGTCGATCTCTTGTAAACGAAATAGTCAAACCACCTTCTAATCTTGCATAAAGAGGGGTGTACTTCCCTATCTGTCGAATGATACCATGCTGGAACTCACTCGAATGAATCGCCAACTTTGGGCAATCAGTCAATGCTTTGTGAGTAGGTTTAACAAACGTCTACGACATAAAAAAATCATGTTCTTGGTATCGTCCGATGTATATGTATTCCATATTGCTCTATGTAGAGTTTGAAGGTGGGTTATCCATATCAGTTTCGAGGGAGGGGGCAACTCTTAAAAAAAAATTGGGACTCAAAACCGGTGAGTTTTCGAAAGTTCAAAACTCCCAGCCGATGGCGGAGTTTGAACCTCACATTGGGCCCTGCCCACGTGGGTGTTTGGCAGTTGCTAGGGACAACCGTTGC